AGGAAGTTTAAAGAAATTTTTTATGCTTTAATAACAGGAAGGTGGTTTGGAGAGCTCTTTGTTGAAATTGGACGTAGGTGATAGAATATCTCTTTGTAAGTAATTTTGTTGCGGTAATTAAGCTGCCAGTTACCAAATGTCGTTATTTATCTGATCAACCTCTCAAGTTATGTTCCCTATGTAATATTAAGGTACAGGGTGATGAATTTCATTATGTTCTGGTGTGTCCAGCATTCAATGATTATCGTTAGCAGTATGTTAGGAAATATCATTACAGTAGACCTAAAGTTATTGATTTCATCAGTTATTCAATGCAAATTCTGTTAAGCAGTTAAAGAACCTTTCCAAATTTTGTAAGATCATTATGTCAAAGTTTAGATAATTTGTTTTGTCCTTTTTCATACATTTGACTTTTGGTTTAATGTGTTGTTGTCGTTTTTGGTATCAAAGTGTAAATGTATATACATGTAGTAGTGTAAGTACTGCCAGTTGAGACATAGGGTATTATATATTTTTTGAAGTATCTCTCAAAGTTTGCCTTCATTTGTTTGCTTTCGCACAGTTAATTGTATCCTAGCCCCGCGCCTGGTTATACATGTTTTTCATAGAATAGGCTGAAGTTACACACTCCTTAAGATTCTTGGAACAGAAATTAAGGATACAGAAATGTCAAATTAAATTTCTTGGTTACATTACCTTCAATAAAAATTCTCCTTCAAACCTGGAGGACTTCAAAGTGATTCTCAACATTGAAAAAAGCCTTTTCCCCTTTTAATTACATCACAATAATTCTCAACTTTGTCTTTGAATTTTTCTTTCATTTTTCCAGAAATTTATCTGAGTGAAAGGTATGGCTAAACGAACGGTCAATGATCCAATACATGCCAATCTGGATTGCCCTCTCTGTTTTACCATCTTTGAGAAAGCGACACTTTTGAATTGTGGACACACCTTCTGTCAGAAGTGCCTCATAGGATATGACATGGGTCATCAAGACATAAATCACATGATCTGTCCCTTGTGCCGAAGACAGACCCCATTCGAGGAAAATCGTGTGCAAGGGCTTCCGCAGAATGTTACTGTGAATGCTCTAGTAAGTGATATCCAGGCCAATATGCTTCCGGAGACAGGATTGGCGCAGCCTTGGGCAGCAGGCCCAGCACAGCCCCAATCACCTACAATCATCAAGGAGGTAGACCTTCCTGGAGGGATAAGGGGTATGACAGGCATGGCGCAAGACACCGTTGTCGTAGGGTATGGAAGCAGTCTTTCTGGAGCTGAAGCCATCAAGGTCTCAGGAGACAGAAAGCCTTACTTGGGTAGTGACGTCGGCCCCGTGCGAGACATCGTCATTCTGAACGACGGACGAGCCGTTGTATCGCACGGTTTAGAGGAAATAATGGCTTACAATTCAGAAGGTACTTTGATGTGGGTAATCCCATTTCAGCAATTGGCAAAGAAGAACGACATTGATTTTTTCTCTACTCTGTATAAAGACAGCCAAGACAATGTCTACACTGCCAACTGCACCAACAAAATCCAGTACTTTAAGGTAAGCGACAAGGGCATTACATCTCAATCCGGAGTGATCACCACTGGAACAGCAAACGGCATGCAGATCTGTGTAACACAAACCGAAATACTGATCATCAGGCTGATCCAAGCAAATCCCCATAGATTGGCATTCTTTGACAAGGAGGGTAACGCGGGGAGCATCATTCCTGCAAGACACGAAAACGAAGTTCTATGCGCCACAGTGGACGCCCTGGACAGAGTGATCATCGGGTATTTTTCTCCACTCTTTGGCACTCTGACACTCTCTGTCTGTACGCTTACAGGGTTACATATCAAACACCAGTACTTCCTCAGCGAGCTTCATTTGTCCCCAGCGAGACAGATCTGGTGTTACATGGTATCTCTAACTCCAAAGCTCCTAGCATTTGCCCATCTGGACAAAAAACTCTACTTCATCAAAGTACCCCCTATCCCCAAAACATAGAATTGCACCATGTGAATACAGAGTTAGTATGAACAACAAACTGCATGTACCATGTACCCGTTTGTACCCAATAAATTACAGGCTTACTATTCACAATGAAAACAGTATCAGGTGATGTACCATAGGGGTCATTCCTGGGCCCACATTCATTCATACATTAGAGAATGAATTTTACATCTGTTCTTGTAAACTGTTATTATTTCTTTTTGCTGATGACTCAATCTTTTCCTCTCACAAATTATTATATGTGTTAATTATGAAGATATAGCAAACTGAAACTGAAAACTCAATTGCTTTTAGAGACATAAAAACATGGAATTTAGTTTATGGTACTTGGTAAAATAATGCTTCCGGATAATGATAGGACTATAATCTGAAAGTGATCATAATTATTACATTTTGTATTATCATATCTCTTGTAATAATCATCTATATAGAAATGTGTTTCTAAAAGAAATGTTAACTTGGTCAAAAATGATTACTTGTTAATTTGAAAGTGTATGAAAAAAATTGAATATGACATATAGAATATGGTGACAACATATTTTATTATTTAAATGTCATAACTGAATAATTACATGTATTATTTTACAATTATTTGATATAGTTGTTTATTTCATTAGAATCAGTAATTAATATGAAGATTGCCAGAGGTATTGAATGATGTCTTATATTTGTGCATGACTTGGATGTATGTCATACAGAAATGGCTCAATACCGTCGGTGACAATGTGACATCATATACCATATTTGCCGGCGATAAGGTCGCAGCGCCGTATAGGCCGCACCCCCGATTTTGACATTTAAAAAAAAAAAGAAGATCTTTTGCCAAAGTCGGGAATCGATCTCTTGCATACAAATGTTGATGTGACTAAAATCACTGCCTTAAACCGCTCGGCCATGCCGCACTGATACCATACACTGCAGTTTTCAGTGATGTAGTCATTGAAATGGATTGAAAATGGCGACTTCGCGTGCTGGATGCTTCGTTAAACAGTCCCTTCTTTTACATTTGCAAAGCATTGGCACGAACTTAGATCAAAATCTATTGGCAGATGTTGTTTTTGGAAGTTTATTTTAGTCTTCATGTCAACAATGCAAGATAAAATTGTCGGTAAGATGTGTGGAAATATGTACAAATTCGTGCTGGCTTTTTTTTTTTTTTTTTTTCTGTTTCGCCGTAAAGGCCGCACCCCGACTTTTTGATATTTTTTCTTCCAAAAATACTGCGGCCTTTACGCCGGCAAATACGGTATTGCTACTCTATGCATTATCATTGCAGCGATAGATCAGTCGGTAGAGCAGTGGTCTCATAATCCAGTGACCCGGGTTCGACACCAATGGCGATGCGCTAGTGCCCTTTGGTAAGGCATTAATCCTCATAACCAGGTCCCTCAGAGAGGACCTAAAGCCGTCGGCCGTCTGGTTGCTTACTTACAAGCATTTATGCTTTCTTAGCAGTCAGGTAAAATAACCACCACCACCTCTACATACGCAAATCTCACATACAATGAAGCTTACATAAATCATTTCCAATTGTTAGTGCACGTAGTATATGCAACTGTGACAAAATGTTACATGAAGCCTTTAGACAAATAGTTTATAGCTACATTTAACAACAGAATTATTCATACCCCTTGTAAATTTGTTTTTGGGGTGTTTTTCTTAACTCGAGAATGAAAGTAAGTGAACTGGTTAAATTAGGGCCTTTGTTGAATACTTTCAGATGTATGCTTTAATACAGTATGCCGCATTCTCAAGAAACCTAAATCGAGACAAGTGAATTTTCCACATACTTAACCCGTTGACTACTGAATTGTATAAGTCCCATAGGCTTAACACAGGGACCACCAGGTTCCCGTAAGCAAAGGGTTAAAAGTATAATTTAGTTGTTGACTGTATGTTATTCATTTATTATTAGGTTTGTGAATTACATGCTAATGCATGTACATTGGTATATTTCATAAACTGATATTTTTGTTAGAATTTGTAGAAATGATTAAGAGAACTACTATTTTGTGCAAATATACTTCTAGATATCTATACTGAAACAAATCATGCAATTCAACTTCCATTCTTATGTTTTGCATTTTAAAATCCTGTCTTTTTAAAGACTCCATCTGATGGAAATACAGCTTTATTTCAATGGAAAGCTGAATGAACATACAGTACAACAAGATTGGAATTGGTCACTTGACAAATGAGGTGGTCTGTCTGCCAATATACCAAAATAAAAGAAGAAAATGGGATTCTGAAATCACATCTTGCAATTAAATTATCGCCAACATTTGATTAAACTAGATAGATCTTCGAATGCGCGTAGACGAAAATGATGCCTCCGCCATTGAGCGAACCAAAAAAAAAAAGTTTGATTGTAATCCATTAACAGGTTCTCAGAATATTGTGACTACAAGCTATTTTTCATATACATGTATGCAAGGCTCAAAATACATGTGGGCGATGGGCGCCCCCGTGAGCTACACAATCACCTCCGTCAGATTTGTTACGAGGGCGATTGCAAAATTAAAAATCGCCCCCGTGGAATTATAAAATAAAGATTTTCTTTTCTGTTATAACTTTCACACAATATTGAGTTTCAACTTTCAAACCTTAAACCAATGAAAACTATGGACGTTATATTTTAATAGCGTGCAGAATTTCGATGGTAATCCATCCATCGGTTCTAATGATAATGCAATCACAAGCTATTTTTGCATACATAATGAGCCCAATGACCTTATGACCCAAAAATCTAAATACTGGTAGTTCATTGGCTCTGCAAGAGACATACTATCCTGAATTTGATGGTAATCCGTCCATCGGTTCTAATGATGTGATCACAAGTTATTTTTGCAAACACAATGAGCCCTGTGACCTTTGACTGCGTGACCCCAAAATCTAATCAGTTCATATTGGCTCTGCAAGATACATACATGACCTAAGTTTGGCAGGAATCGATCAAAAGGTTCTTGAGATAATACAGTGTATATTGAGCTCTTACCGGTCTCTCCTTGGTACCATAGAACTCTGGCCTGTCAGGTTCAGACATATCATAGTTATCCACATCCCATTCATAGGCCAGCTTCACTCTCTTCCTCTTCCAAACCTCCTGGAATATTGTACCTACAAAGGTCAAAAGGTCAAAGGGCAAATTAAGTATACATTATGCACCTTGTCATGTATAAAAAAAAACGTCACCAATTAATGATTCAAAAGGAATGTAAAACGGATAATACATTTACAAATTAAATATGAAGTATGAAATATGACAAATAAAATTTGAAGTATTGAGGCAAAATAGCCATGTAGTGCATGCACATTAGATACATGTAGCACTGAATTTAAAATGGAAGGTAAAGGTAAGTTCAGCCAATTTCATAATTTCTGCAGAGTTGGTTTGCTTTTGATTTCCTGAAAACAAAACAGAAAATGATTCAACGCAAAAATAAATTCAAAAGAACTTAAAAGGGTAGACCTTCACTTTTATCGCATGGAGATCGAAGTTGCACCAGTTATTTGGATGATTTTTGCACTTCACTTAAACAGAACTTAACAAAACTTTCAAGGTTAAAGGAAAAACAATTTTTCATCAATAAATAATGGAAAACATAGGTGTAAAAATCATTTATCAGAGAGTTAGTTTTGTCTTCAGAAAGTCTTTGAAAATAATCACAACTGCAAAATGGAGAAGGTTAAGAGGACTGCTACATGTAAATAATCGAGGGGATAAGTAGGTATGCAATCTGATTTCAAACTTACCCCAAAGACATATAACGAGGGCATAATATGGAGTCACTTCTGAGTCAAAAGAGTTCTTGAACACTGTCAAGCCTGCATCTGTAATCCTGTATACATTCAAAAATAAAAGATTTGGACATTAAAAAATAAAAAAGTATTATTATTCCCACAACAATAGGTCAATTTAATCTCCTGGGTACTAATATTAGAATGCATGCAAAGAGATTATTTAAAGAATATAACCTTTCTCTTGCGTGGTAATCTGTATATTTAATTTTGCAATCTTAACATAAAAATAAAAATTTCATGAAGTTGTTCCAACAGCTTCCATTCCCATGCTGATATGAAAAAAAAATCAAATATAAACATTGGTTTGATGCCCTTATTTTGTATATATATATATATATATCAAAAAGCAATTCCTGATCTGGAAATATCCATCGGTAGACAGGGGACAACTGTCCACGAGCATATTAACTTGACAAGGGATAATGTACTGCTCTATACATGTATATCAATGCAGGGGAAAGGTGTGTGTATGTGATACTGGCTTCACAACAAATTAAATAAGCTCAAGAAAGATTACAAACAGTCCTTTTAGGACTCCCCAATCCTCTCCCCCCCCCCTCCCCCCCCCCCCCCCCCCCCCCCCCTCTCTCTCACACACATGGTGCAACCGTAAGCCTACTGTATATCTACATCACTATGCAAGCCGATACTTATAAGTAGCATCTAAATTTAATAAATAAGGGTTGAAATAGGGCTTTGCCAAGAAGGCAGAGACAAAAATGTCATCAGACATCCATTATTCAGACTTTAATTTTTGTGCCATTTTAATACCGGTAGGCTAATGGTATTTCTATAATTAATTGGGCAATTACACCTAGGCAGCCTGCCCATTGTACTCAATCATGCAAAATAACAGAGATTTGTCATGTGCAACAGCCTGTATCCTTTGGTCATTAATTAATAATTGCTTCTTTGTTATTCTATAAGATTGAATGATTTATAAGCTCCTTTGCTCTGTTATTGTGGTAGATCGAGCTACATTAGACATAAATCTCGTAAACTTTACTTTTGACAAAGCATGGTCATCAACAGCGGTCCATTAACCCAAGAGCATATTTCAGAGCACCATTTTACAACGTATAGTACTCTACAATGCCTCTACCCTATCAATTAAATTGAAAATTGGTCTCTGACATTATACGCATGTGTCTTTATCAGCTTGAGTTTGCCAAATAACCCGCTATTTTAACTATCTCGATCCTCTTCATCAGCCCTCAGTTGCAACTAGCGGGATATCCAGAGAAATCTTGATCTTGTTTTAAAAATGTCCCGCTATTTAGGAAATAGCGGGCTTAATTTGCGCCTGTCCGAGCTAGTTTGTGATAAGCGTATCGGTCTGGTGAGGACACAACTTCGAGCTTCGGCATAATATCCCGAGTCTGAAAATAGCGGGTTATTTGGCAAACTCGAGCTGATAAAGACACATGCCTATAATGTCAGAGACCAATTTTCAATTTAATTGACAGGGTAGAGGCATTGTAGAGTACTATACATTGTAAAACGGTGCTCTGAAATATGCTCTTGGGTTAATGGACCGGTCTACTAACAAATTCAAATTGCTTGAGGCTTGCCTGACATAGCAACATGGATTCCAAGTGTTGTAGTTCAGCTATTAAAAACAGGTTAATGGAATACCTCATCACTATAGGTCCCCAGGAAAGAAACGTCCACAAATTTTAATATAGGCTCGTAAACCGGTCCATTGCTTGGGGCTGGATTTCATCAAAGATATAAGCTTTAATTGCTATTAGGTTTTAGTAAAGAATTTGGTTGGTGCAGAGTATTGACATGCAGGAGAGCAAATGCCACTGGAGCACATGTCTTACAACATTCTCATAGTAAAATGGGATACTCGCATGGTAAAATGGGACACTCACATGGTAAAATGGGACACTCACATGGTAAAATGGGAAACTTGCACGGTGAAATGGGACACTCACACAGTAAAATGGGACACTCACACGGTAAAATGGGACACTCACACGGTAAAATGGGATACTCACATGGTAATGAGAGACTCGTCTTCCAATTGTTGAGTGAGATTTGCTAATAGACTCTCGTCCGATGCACTCAGATTATAAAGGCTCTTATTTGCCTCTAGTTCTTCCATCAGGTCCCGCTGCTTTCCTTTATCATCCACCATGTCTTGGTAATTTTCAATGCTACAGGGTGGGGGAGGGGAGTGGTAAATGAGATGAAGAAAATAAGAATGGGTCAAAACATTCCTATTCTTTATTCTGATTACTTATATACTTATATGTACATGAATGAGTATAATAAAGTAAAGTAATTCAGATTTTTAAAACTGAATCATTCAAATTTATTGAATGCCGGTAAACGAACCATGTAGAAAATACCATGGTTAATTTACAGGCTTAAAAGTCATAAACGTTAAAAAAATTAATCAAAGATATAACGAGTTGGGGGTTTAGTAGTTACCTGAGGAAAAGACCATAGCCCCAAATTGCCAGCCCCATAAGCATAGGTATCCAGAGATAGGTGGCGAACGCTCCTGCCCACGCAAAGTAGAAAGCGATCTGCTCCCCGTAGTAGTTCCTGATCTTCCACAGCGGTTGGTACTTGGAGAATCGCACCCACGTTCTTTGCATATCCTAGAGTAGTAAGAAAGGTTTGGATCAATTGCTTGCTTGAAGATTTACCCAACAAAAAAGGAAAAATTCAAACTTCTAAAACAGTTTTCAGAGCTTAAAATTTGCATTTTCCTCTGATGTAGTATATGGACAACCAGCAAGTAGGAGATAAAGAAGAGAGAGTTTTAAAAAGAGAGATTTTAAAAAAAAGAGATGAAAAAAAGAATATATGCAAGGAGAAGAAAGACAAAAGAAAGGAATTTAGGAAAAGGAGCATGAGAATAAAGGGGGGAGATAAAGAATGTTTGACTGGTAGCTAGATTTTACAAATATAACTATGATAAGGTTAGTTTTTATTGCAGTTGAGGCTCAAAGGGTATTTTTTTTGTAATCCTGATTATCAAAATGTTTCTTTTCTATCACTGAGACATTGATGCAACTTCAAATGACTAACCCCACCCCCCCCCCACCCCCTCACAAAAGAAAATATCCTATCTTCTCCAGACTAAACAATTTCAGAGATCCAGTATAATCTACCCATTCTACATAATTATGAGTACATGCAGGTCCGGTGTCAACTTCATTACTTTAAAACAAATAGGATGCAAGCACAATGCATATGAAACAAACTCAATTAGTTGCAACTCTCTTGTATTATACTACATGTCTGGATGAAAGAAATTGGAAAGGTACACATGGCGTTTTAAGAATGGAGGAAATTAACAACTTCAAACAATATCACTAATATTGACTGAGAAATGCAAAGACCTATATTTTGCTCAAATGTAGAAAGTATTTATTGCAAACCTGAGCCATGAACTCACTTATGAAGCAACTCTTTTGTAAAAGCAATAAAAATAATGTTAGTTGTCATTCATTGTCAAAAAGAAGTGTAACAACAAATGCCCAAGAGAAAGTTATGCAGACTAGAAGCAGATCTATTAAGAATTTATCAATATTTGATTGGTATCTCACTTAGGAGTTCTTTCTTAATTGGGCTCCACCATTTCATTTGAAAAGTATGTATATATGAACAAATCTTTATTCAATAACCATGACATATATCATGGTCCAAATGAAAAATGCAAGATTCTATTTGACAATGATAAATAGCAAATACAATTGTTTTAACACCATTCCGGTATACACACAGATTCTTTAATAATAGATAATAAAGGTTAGTAAAACACATGCTTCAGATAAAAAAAAGAGGTCTCATTACAGAGTTCCAAACTTCCAACCTACATGTATATATTCAAAATTGGAACTTGCATGGAATTGTGTCTTAAACGATATGAGGCTCACTAAATTTCATTATAAGTACTGAATTATCTAAAGAACTTAGGATTGAACACGAATATCAGCTGGTGTTAGTATAAAAATTAAATGCTAGAACTTTCAAAGGATTGCGGTATACATGCATGTATATACCTGAAAATTAATTCAACTCATAAATTAACCATAACCAGGCACATGCAAATGCATCTCTAGAATATGTCTCTTATTGTTAGAAGGAGTAAAACATCATTATAAGCACTATTGGTAATGTTGTGAAAATACTTTATATCTACTCTGATCTTCCAAAGGTCCCCAAAATAACCTCGGGTTCAATCAACTTAAAATTTTGCCAAGATGCCCTTTTTACTATTCTGATCTTCCAAGAGGTAAGCAAGGGTTCCAATAACTTGACATTTTGCCAAGACGACCCTTTCACGATGGCCTCAATGCCGTCGTTAAAATGGCAAAGTTTGAAGCTGACTTTATTTACTAAAGAGAGCAGGCATTATGGCTACATGAAAAAGCAGTATAGCCTTCCAACTACAAGGTTGTGGATATAAAACCACCTTTAAAGCGCTAGTGCCCTTTCATAAGGCACTGATTCTCAAAGACAAAGTCCCTCAGACAGAACTCAACTATGTAGGTCCATTGTTTGCTTATATATCTACAAGCCAATTTGCTGTTTCAGCAGTCAGGCAAAATAATATTTTGTCAGCCACACAAAAATTTACTTTTGTGACCTAGCTGTTGCTACCACCGACAGATTATGTGCCTGGTATATGTTTCTTCAGTGTTTTCATGCAGTTAGTCTTTCTCTTACCATATCAAATCATATACCGTTGGCATGCAAGCATTCTAAATGAACGATGGGGTATGTTAATGCATGAGAGTGATGATGTAAAAGAACACGCTTTCTATTTTAGTCTGATATGACACAAAATGACTTACAAATCTGGAGTCTCGACGTGTAATGTTAAAGTCTCTCTGTATATTAAAACATGAAACAATGAGGCTGTTACACAGATTCACATCAAACAAATTTACATGTACATGGACGTTAAAACGTTTGACGCACAAGACAACACATTGAATAATGTGCAGTTAGAAGAATAAACAATAATTTAAGTCATACACATGTAAAATCCACAACAAAAATTTAGAGTGAAAAGGGGTTCTTTGAAAGATTTCATTTCAAGGACAGTCTAACTTTGATACACTACATGTATATGAACAGGCCGGACCAAACGACTTAAAATGATCTTGCCAATGTCTTAAATTCCAGCAAAATGTCTTTGTTTATGCATTGTTCCTGCTATGTATTATATCTCAATTTAACCCACTGTATTTCATTATCTGTAAACAGTTATTTTACATGGTGAATAAATAAAACAAACAAACAAAACAGTCTACTTCCGATCTTGGACTAAAGGTCTTTAATACTTTGATCGTATGGTATTTTTTAAATAAGATTATTAAAAGATTTAGTTTCAGGCTGTTTGTATACTGCATGGTCCTATGCAAAGGTTGTGAGTCTAATTTTAGTCGGACAGTTTTATTACGGTCATAATTCAAAGCAAGAAGACTAGTAACGATCTTAATTCTAACTCATTTTGACTTTCGGTAGAAGGCCGTATTTCTGGAAGACCGACCACTATAAACTGGATCATCTATTCATACCCGTACTTGCACCATCTTTCGATTTCCATCTCTCTTTCTAACGAATAGTTAAACCAAAAACCTGAAATCAATAATATGTTAGATGTACTAAGTACTAACAAAAGATATCAATTAAGTTTGCTTCCATCAAGGATGTTTAGAAATCTGTTAGTGCATATGCACCTGATGTGTCTATTGAGGGTCTGGGCAAACAACTATAGCTAAAAATCCGTAAATTTCTCCTAAAATGGATAGACAAGATCACGCACTGGCTGAGAGGTAAATTTTACCCAATTCAATTGTTTTTATGATTTCAGTAAAGAATTTTGCTAAACTTTTTTGCTAAGGGGGGGGGAGGGAACAGCCTGGGAGGCAAGACCCTTTTGCCCCCCCCCCCCCCCCACCCAATCTCTTTCTCTTCTTCTTTCTTTTCCTTTCTCTCCTCTTTCCCCCTCTCTATCTCTATCTCTATTTTTGTTTTTGTCGGGGGGGGGGGGCAAGGCCCCCTCGGCCCCTCCCTGGATCTGCGCCTGCAATCACAAACAAAAATGTGTTTATGTGAATCCCAAGTCAGGATGAGAAATCCCATTGTAGCAAAAGGTCATCAGGTGCATCAATTATATCATACACAAACATGATGGTTCAAGAAGTTTGTTTTTCGAAAACAATGTACCATTAAATAAAAAAAAGGAGCATATGATTCTGGCATGATTTCCTCTCAAAACTAGCTTGAAGGTTATACCATAGCATACCTCTCTATGATCCAGATCAGGTAGGAAGTGTCCCAGCTTCTCACTTTCTTTCCTCATTGCATCCCTCTCATCCTCATCCAGATCTTCATACACAGACTCATCATGGAGGATGAATCCGTCGACATAGATACCCCTCAGAATCATGTATGGTAGCCCTGAAGGAACAAAACAAAACCCAAAAAAGTAAAATCTTATGTGTTTTAATAGACATTAAAACAAACAAATACTAGCAATTTTCCTCCCTTAATTTCTGCTGTATGGAGTTCACTTTTTCTTGATTTCCAGCACCAGCTAATATTAAATAGAATATTACAATATTTTCAAGTTTCGAAAATACTATTTCCAATTTTGTAACACAAAATCATGAAAGTCGGTTGAAAAAAAAAAGACACAAAAGATATTATTAATGAGGAGTAACCAGGCAAGGAGGATGAACTGTATTATGCAACTGAACTTGTAATTAAACAAAGAGAAATGTATTAGCTGAACAGATTATGAAACAAATCATTCTTTTTTTAGAGAGAGAACAAGTGGTGGAAGTAAGTTCTCCTTGCCCAATATAGCTCTAGTTTAGTGCACATTTATGGATAACCTTACCTTTTCTCCTCATCGAATCGTTATCCCTCTTATCTCCAGATTCTCTGACATCCATATTGATCAATATATGATGAGTCTATGCAGGACAAAAGAGAAAAAACAAAGCTATTTTCTCTGATACATGGTGGTTTTAAGCTTCCCTTCTTGTGTATTCACTTGTAAGTAATTGGCTCATGAAATCTACTCTAAAGTTTTGATGGAAAAAGAAAAAACACTTTAAGAAAGATGGAAATCTTTCTTCTGTAATGGTTATGCTGATGCTGATGCTGCTGCTGCTGCTGCTGCTGCTGCTGCTGATGATGATGATGATGATGATGTTGATGATGTTGATGATGTTGATGATGTTGCTGATGATGATGCTGATGATGATGATGATGATGATGATGTTGATGATGATGATGATGATGATGATGATGATGATGATGATGATGATGATGATGATGTTGATAATGGTAATGTTGTTAAAGATGATGGTGAGGATGACATGATAATAATAATAATAGTAATGAAGGATACTTGTATAGCGCATATCACAAACACAAAGAAAGTTCCTCTGCCCTATGATGATGATAAGACAGTAAGACGGTGACAACGATAACGATGGTGGTGACGATAACAATGATGATGTTGTAGAAGATGACGATGAGGATACTTTCTTATAGAGTGTCTGTATCCAAAGTTCTTTCAACATAACCATGAACTCGTCTAAAATAGTCCTCTCTCTTAGCAACCCTTTCAGCTGATTCAAACAAGAGTCTGGTTCCTCTAGATGCTATCATTAAACCTATCCCCGCCTCTAACATCAGACCCATCTAAGGGCGCGTTCATGCTTCACTTTTTCTGGCCAGAATCAGGCATCTGTTACGCGTTTAGTTTAAAACACTGTTGCGTTCATGCTTACTTTTGTAGAATCACCGAAAAACGGCGATCATGATCGCCGATCGTAAACTCACAAAAAGATGCGTTTACAATTTGTAAACGCGTTTAAATGGGGTCAACGCACTGACCTCTAGTGGGTCTACGTAGCATGCGCACACAGGTTTGCGAATCCAGCTGAAGGCCACCCAAGGAGAATTGCCTGGAGAAGTGAGCATGAACAGTGCACCGTGGAACTGCGATCACGATGAGCGTTTACGATGAGTGTTTCAGATCGCTCATTCTACCTTCAAAATCAAGCATGAACGCGCCCTAACTCAACAACCTTTATGATAAAATCACGATGGTGACTCTCTTCCAGTCTATTACATTCCACTTACCAGGTAACTCCTCGTGGCTGATCTAAAGAATGTCTCTTGGTTATCGATCCCGTCAAAAACATTCCTCTTCTGAACACAGAACGGTGCACTCACAAAGTCCACTGCGACAGTACAAGCAAAACAAGATATACAGCGTGTTTCTATTAGTCATACTGAATTTATCTGTTTACTGGTGATATGTTTTTTTGGAAAATAGCATAGAATATCAGGGAATGGGCACTTTCTATCTACGCGTATTATCCGGACGGATACACTTCTCCAATTTAGCGGGTTAAAAGGCCTTGAATAAAAGTTCATTGAACTTTGGCTAACTTCAGTATGTGGGACTGCTAGGTCAACCTGGGATTTTAGTGTCGGGGTAAAATATTCAGATCATGTGATCACTCTGATTTACGGTTTCTCTCTGTTATGTGCACTCAATCGGAACGGCGTGAGTTTCTACTTACGTTATCCGATTAACTTCCCCTGAATTATCCTTGTAAAAGAAGGATCATTTTGCCCATGAACGCATCACACCTCTCACGGCCATTATCCGGATAATAGCGGAGAAGGTCAGTTTCTATTAGGCAAAATTTATCCCTTATCGACTATTAACTGGATAATGGCTTCTAGCAGAAACACGCTGATAGTTAATAATTTGTAAACCTCGAATACCGTAATCTAACATATACAAATGTAAAATATAAATGTATTCCCAGGAGAGGGGGAGACACTGTAAGTTGAGCAACTGTCCTAATCTTTGAAACATTACAAGCATTTTAGAATAAATGTTGGTATAGAGGTATGTTTTTTAATGTTACATCTTGATTTAGTGCTCTATCCTGAGCAGCTACTGTATATTCCTGTATTCATCTTGTAAAAGGAAGTCAATCTCTCTGTGGTTTCTGTATGTAGTTCAGATTACAGGAAATTAACGTTTAAACTGTCCGGACAAAAAGATCATGGAAGTAGGCCTACAAACTGTGAAAAATATGTATCATCCAATTAATAAATTTATTATAATAATTGCATTACCTAGCAAATTAAAAATTAAAAAACAACACACACTCATTCTTACATATTGCATTATTTCAAGACAACATAATTACCCTTTAAATTCTTTAATATCGTTAATGGAATATGTGTATGTCCCACACTGCAGCAGCAAGAGGCCAACAATGGATTGCATGGTAATACTCACATTCATCATCAGTCTTTAATCGTTTCTCAATTCCGGCTATGCACCCTTTCTTCTTGTTTGGAATTATTGCAGCCTGTATGAAAAGAACAACAAAATACAAGAATTTACATGGATGCATAGTCAACATCTAAATTATGCATACCCTCACCAAGTTTGTCACAAATTATGTTTCTTGAGAATTTTGCATTTTAAAGCTTACCGGTACATGATTACATTTATATCTAAAAGTATTCAACAAAGGCCCTAATTCAACTAGTCCATCTATCATTCCGGACTTTAATATGGAAAACACAAAAATATCAAATTTACAATGGGTATACTTGTATGAATGATTCAGTCGTTAACTGTATCTACATGTATATTGGTGATTCAAATCTGAACAGGTTACTGTTGTAAAGAGATCTACATGTACATGTACCAACCATAAAAATAAATACAATACTGCCAGAATTGCAATTCTAGAAAACACTTTCCATTTAAAGTAACTTTATATCTTCCATTGGCAAAACAACTGTAATGTACACATCAAGCAGCCTTCTACAATACTGAAAACGCTGTTATTTTTGCGTGTTTAATTTTTCGCGCGACCCCAAAACATGTTCTATTTGCAGGTTCTTAAATTCGAGTTGCACGCAATTTAGCCCATTCAAGACACGCATAAAAAGTCATGCTTATATATTTGCGGGTTTTAATATTCATGGACACGACTTTAGCGCAAAATCCATGAAAATTAAAGTACCCCGAGTATTGCCACGTTATCAGTATATATTCCTTTTGTATGGCAATTATGCACAGATATTTCCTTTGAAATTATCTTCTTCTTTCCATTTCACTGAAATAGGCCTACTCTATAAACATGGCAATCAAGTGAACATGTATATTCAAGAATTTTACTAAATTTACTTCAACTTCCGAAATTGAGTGTTACACTAGGATTGGAAATAAACAGGTCCACAATAGGCCTGTCCTCATCAGCTCGAGATTGCCAAATCACACGCTATTTTAACTTTCCCAATCACAAATTATTCAGCTATTTCGCGTCTTCATGAGACCACAGTTGCAATAAGCAGGATATTTGGTCGAGATAATCATCCCAAGATATCTTGGGCTAGTTTGCAAAATATTCTGTTATTTGTCCGGTGCGTCCTCACCAGCCCGAAGACTCGCACTATGCCCGAACGCTGAGCAAAATATCTCAAGCTCGAGTTTCGAGCGTTTGGAGGTCGAGTCTCGAGCTGATTAAGACGCGATTTGTAACTTCGGGCTTATTTTCCAAATCAGAAACAGTGGGCTATTTGGCAATCTCGAGCTGATGGAGACATAACTATTGTTTATTTTTAAATACACAATGGATTCATTGATGTCATTCTTGAACAACATGCATGCACATCAAATAAGAGCCCCATGCAAGTGACATTCCCAAATCTTACCCCTTTGAGTGGCATCTCCAGATTGATGTCTTCCGCCTCCTTGCAGAGCCTGTTGAAGGAGCTGTGGATCTTGACATAGGTGTGATCCCCAACCGTCTCCTCCTGGACCTCCAGCCGCTCCTTGGTCACCATGGCCTCCTGGAACCGATCACGGAGCTCCTTCTCCCGGCTGTACTCCTCAAAATCATCCGCGGATTCAAAGGAGTTTTCCTCGCGGTGCTTGTACACCAAGACATAGTCTATTCTCTTGGTTATGGTCTTGGCCTCGTGCGACTTCCGATGCTTCTTCTTTTTCTTTTTCTTCTTCTTCCCGCCGTTCATCTCGATTGGAGCCAGATTGAGGGCCTTGCCCCCGTAGGTCTCATCATAAATAGGTTCCATTTTTGTTTATCCAACAGATCAAATCTATGAAGGAAATTAAGAATTGCACGACATATATGAAATGATGACTGTATACATGTATGGCTTTGGGCTTCTACCTTTAGAACGTGCAATGCATTGTGTATCTTTTATCTCAGTTTCATTCAAGTGTTTATTCCAACAAAAATTGTTCACCTACAGTGTTTTACATGTATATCATTGTACCATACTAGATGTTTAATGATGATTTATGAGTAAATTTTTGTATAAAAGTTCATAAAATATTGTATAAAATGTCAAGCATGCAATATGATACAAATCACATAACCTGTGGAAAGGCATGGGGAATTAAGTTTATGGGGATAAAAAGGGAAATTAATGGGATAAAAAAATATTTAAGGAAAATTGATGAATAGTGAGGCAATGACGTCACAAACTGATAACCAAATTGGCAATTTGTGTAGTGATTTTCCAAGTTCCATAGTTTTTCAAACCATAATCAAAATCATAACTTCCTTGTAAGTTATTTTTTTTTTTGCTCTGTTTCTCTTGTTGTCCTTCATCTTTTAAAAGCAAATTACTTTTGGAGTGGACTTGGCCTTTAAAAATCTTTGAGTGTAGATGTGATTACATACATTGTGGGCTAGCTTGAGGCTTGACCCTAGCTAGCAAACCTTGAGGTGCTGGCGGTTTTGTAAATTAATACCCCTCTCCAATTTTGAAGGTCAATATGTCAAACTGTTTCATGTAATTTACAGTGGATTAATATTGAGGACCATTTTATAAATCTCTATCCAAAATTTCACACAGACTTAGCACTATTTACAGACATACATACATGTACAATGTATAAAGCAGAAGCAAAAGTCCAGGGGCTGTATTCTGAACCCTGTGTTATCTCTAATATTGTTGTATCTTTGAGGTTAAGAAAGAGTTGGTATTCTCGAAATTGTTGTATCTTTTGTCGTATCTTTGCTCTCATCTCGAGCTACGAGTTTGTTGTAATGACGTTATCACAGTTTTTTTCCTTCATAAACATTTTGCCTTGCGCATAGACTAGAAGGGATGAGATTTAGATGACGTCATGCACAGTGAGAGTTTAAAATATGGCTGCAAGATTTTCAACATGGATGTCTTTTTGACCCATAATTTTTTTTTAAAGGGACCATTAAATGGATTATACAATCAATTCAATTCAATTCAATTTGATTTTATTCAAGTCCATTTAAAAAAAGTACATTGAAAAACATTGTATATTGACAACATATTTACATGTAGGATACACAGTATACATTGAAATTTAAACACACAATTAAAAAGAGAAGTAAAGACAAGAGTAAGAAATCAAGAAAATAGATAATGAACATGAAATGGAAATTGCAAAAGAACCAAATAAAGGTTCTGTTGAGGCAATTCCCAGCTTATTAAAATACCAAAATTTTTACTGAAAAGGAATTAGAAAAGCATAGTGACATTATGGCAAAAAAAAAAAGTTTAAAAGTTATAAAAGTTAAAAAAGTTAGGATGGATTAATTATTTTGTAGAGTATGTGAATAAAAAAACCTTAAGTTTTGATTTAAAAGAATTAAGAAACGAAATTGTTTTAATATAATGAGGAAGAGAGTTCCATGTTGACGGTCCTTTTGATTTGAAAGAAAAAGATGATGCTGTATTTTTACATTTTTCACCATAGTAATTTTCTGGATTTCTGGTATTATAATTATGCATTTCTGTTTTACAATCAAGTTGGCAAGTGAAACTGATGTAGTTTAGCCTACTGCCTGTGGATTAATTTTCAATAAATAAATGCATCGGATATGAATCTGCAAAAATGTAGTATTTATGGCAAAGAGTTTTGGCCATAAATGGCCAAAACGCTTGAACAAGAACGCCCATGGTTGGCTTCTGTCTCTAAAGAGAGGAGCCGACCCTACCCAAATCAGAGGCTTACAGAGATGCCAAGTTCAAAGATCAGTTATGATGACATTTTCATGACTCGGCGCGCGAGGGTATAGCGTAGATAGTGTACGTTTCGAAATCGCGCGCGCACATGAAGCGACGTGTTACGTGCATGCGAAATATGTACACGAACCATGCGAGGAGCTAGCTGAGGGCCTTGAGCAATTACTACCCTTTTTTTTCCACATTTTGGCCCTGATGCGTGACAAAAATCCAGTTTGGCCCTGAAAGTAGGGTGTCTGATCGCACACCCGATGTTGTGTGCTAAAATCCCTCCCGTAGAGAATGCACGCATCCCTATGTGGTCTACGTGCATTGCGCGACCATGCAAAATTGGTCAATGATTTTATGAAGAAATTGAAATTCAAACCTTAATTACTCGTGATCCTGAAGATGAAACTCAATAAATGTGGTGTCATATGAAAGAGCAGGTTTTTCTCAATATTCCCCATAGGGACCACCCCCAGTTTTCTAAAAAAATTCTTGGTCAAAACAGCGATTGAAATGTTGTTTGCATCCCAGCTCCAAAATTTGGATCTTTCCTGAGCTGCGCCGCCACGGCTTAAGTAGGGCTAGACGTAAGGATAATATCCAGGTGCTTTTTTTTTTGCTAGCCCCAAGGGATCATTTGGCCTAACAGTTTGAAAATACCCTTCTCACATTTTTGGAATCAGCTAATTAGGGAGGCGTGAGCTCCACTCAGTCCAAACCATGGTTACATCGCGTAACATCTGCGCGTATAGTGAATGAAAGTATAGATAGCTGTTCGCACCATAAACCCCGGAAGTGAATACACGTTATACTCAATGGCAATATCGCGAAGACAACGTATTCACTTCCGGGGTTTATGGTGCGAACGGCTAGCCATACTAGTCAATGGCACATATCGCGGAAACAGCGTGGCTCAAGCTGCAAGTTGCGCATGACATGCGTATGCTATGCATACGCTTGCATATCGCGCGATACAGCTGTTTGGCTAAATTTAGCAAAACAACATAACTCTGCATGTACGTCTTTTTCATCGATTCTGAGCAAAATCCTATGAAGGGGTGACCAAAGTTCGCGGACATTTTAGAACTCATTACAAAATGTGATATTCGATCTTATGATTTCTCATATTCTACACAAATTTATTTATTTCAATTATTACCAAATGGACGGCAAATTTTTTTGCTACAGATTGGTTCAACTAAAAAAATGGCAATATCGTGAAATAGGCCCCGCAACTTACCCGTCTTGTAATCGATTACAAATCACCTTAGACTTCTAACTTCAGTCTTCAGCCAACATTTTCATGACGGACAGCAATAAAAGGGAGATAAAAGTGAGTTAAAAAGGGGGTTGAAAGGGACTTATTTTTTAAATAATAATTAGGAGGGGGGGGGCACGTAGCCACGGGGGGGGGGGGGGGGGGGGGGGGGGGGGGGGGGGGGCAGGCCCCCCCAAAAAAATTTAAAAAGGAAAAATATTTAACTAAAAGATAAATTTAAAGAGAGGGGGGGCGGGGGGGGGGCCCCAAAAATAAAAAAATTCAATAATAGATAAATTCAAAGAGAGGGGGCCATAATATTTTAAAAAAAACGAAAATATTAAAAAAGGAAAAATATTAAAAAAGGACAAATATTTAAGAAGGTAAAATATTAAAGAAGGAAAAATATTAAAATAGATCTAGGGTCTAAAAGTAAATTTAATCATTTAAATGTAACCCTTTTTAATCGTTTGCTAGCTCTAGATCTATTTATTAAACCTCAAATCACCCCCTAAATTATACTTCGGTGAAAGAAGCCCCACTACCGTGCTGTCCGTCTTGAAAATGCATAGGATGGGGCCTTGTTCACGAGTATACAGTATAGTCGTGATACAGGCCCCATGTCTATGTTGTAGAACATGCAACGCCGTTGCGCGGGGCCTATATCACGAGTATATATAGCGAGTTGAATAGCAGACTCGCTAATATATACTCGTGATACAGGCCCCGCTGCTGTGTTGAATTGTGCGCGATGCCGTAGCGCGGGGCCTATATAACGAGTATATAAGTATAGTCGTGATACAGGCCCCGCTGCTGTGTTGAAGTGCGCGCGATGCCGTTGCGCGGGGCCTATATCACGAGTATGCCAAAAAAATTATCGGGGAAGGATTTTGGAGATATCGCGATCTAAAGATTCGATGTCCAATCGTGCATGCGCGCTGAATCTAAAAAAGTCATAAAAACAACGAGACCTAACTTCACGCACGGGGCTTTACAATTGATTTATCGAAAAATGTGATGCATCAAAAATAAGGTAATAGACCTATCATAATTTGCAAGGCTATGTTTAGATGGCTAAGACATCCTACCCGCACCTACAGTTAAAACTCAGACGAGTATTTTGGAGGACCAACCAACCAAGTAGCTTTTTGGGTGCAACAAATTCAAGATTCAAGATTCAAGATTCAAGATTCAAGAACCAAAAACATGACATCATGCATCATCAACAAGTGTGGCCTGTGGCCAGGCCAGGCGACAACGCCGAGCCTGGCATCGGGTGCGGCCTGGCCTTGGAAAGCTGCAGCTGCAAGCTGCATAATCGCATCCTCACAACACAACAACACTCGGCGAAAATTCATACACGACTCACAGTCGAACTCGAATATCTTCTTAAAATGAAGAAAATTGTTGAAATGAAAATGTTTTCTAACATAAGACTGCATAATTACTTTACCTCTCAGACTGCGAAAACCATTCAAATTATCACTGAGATCTAGATTTAGTTCAAACACTTTCCATGTTGAACTCGACATCATCTCTGAATGCAGCCATATTGAAAGGTATACTTTCAAACTGCGCATGCGTAAAAGCTTTGTGATGTCATTAGAAACTGTTGCCAAGGCACAGAGTTAGAGGCGTGTTCTCCCTTTGCAGAAAGTCGCTTAGCAGAAAGTCACATAATAATATAGAGATCTTTCTGTCTTTCTTTATTCTTCCTTCCTTCATTTCTCTCTTTAGATTTTTTATATCAAATCACAGTTTTAGAGCTATAAAAACTCTTCAAGATAAGTTAGAACGATGGAAGTTGAAATACCGTCAGACAATAACACCATCAACTCTCTTAATTTCTAAGATTTATTTTTAAGTCCGAAGAATTTATTTTTTAAATCCAAGGGCGACTGTAATCAGTGACAAAACACTTGGATTTAAAATAAGTCTAAGCTAAGACTTAATTTTAAGTCCCTGAAAAGGTTTAAAATTTAAGTCAATTGGATTTATATTTCAAGTCTTTTAATATTTACTTTAAACCTTTCTTGGATTCATTTCAAAAATAAGTCTAAGCTAAGACTTAAAATTTTAAGTCCCTGAAAGATTTAAATTTTAAGTCAATTGTATTTATATTTCAAGTCTTTTAGATTTACTGGTCTAGCTGAGCCATTAGAACATTTGGTAAAACTTCCAAACAGTTGAACGGCCACAACACTTCAATACTGGTACGTCAGTATTTTCCATGTAAAGGCATCGGTAATATTAAGTAGACTTATTTTAATTAATCGAAATTTTTTCATATATTTGTATTTTATTGAAATTATTTTAGTTCATAGTTAATGTTTCCCTTATTCATGTTTAATTAAATGTAATTCATACGAAGTAGCGAAATGTCCTAATAACTGGTACTTTATATTTGTAGTATTTTCGAAATGAATTGCATATACCTAAATCATCAGTAATTAAGAAATATGCTGTAAATTCAGATAAATTGTTAAAAAAACATAGATCTGCACACACCCCATAATGCAAATTAATTGGTGTCAGCTGGTTCAACTGGAAATATGCCAACAGTCAGTCATAGATAGATAGATAGATAGAAATGGTTTTTATTAAAAAAGATCATCGCAGCCAATGGCTGAATTGCGATCCATTTCACAAGGTTATATACAATACAATTGCAATTCAAATTGAAATAACACAACATATGACATAAATCAATAATCAAACATATAGACATTTCATAAACATTCATTGATCAGATTCAAATTTTTGTTAAAAAAGAAAGAGATAGGGAGAGGTGTAGGAGAGGGAGAGTTGGAGTGATGACAAAGAGAGAGAAGGAGAGAAAGAAAGAGAAAGGGGACGGGAGAGAAAGACGGAAAGAGAGAGAGGGTTGAAGAGAGGAAGAGACAGACAAAGGGTACCTTATCATTACAGATGAGGGGAGATGGCAAGAAATATTCAGTATTGCAGAAAATTGAGATAAAAACTATCAAAATTCATTCACATATTTCAATCATGGACTGTGAAATTCTAAAAATATTGATATTACATTTTATTCAAAAGATTTATAAAGTAAGGAAGAGAGCTGCACTGGAAGCGTTTTGTTTTACATTGGTATTGTTTAAACTTTGATTGAGATCTTAGAGAATAAGTGCTTTGTTGTCTAAGAGGTAAACATTCTTTAAATTGTGGGTGTTTGACAAGTGCATTTGCACTATATATATATATATCATCAACTGGTGCAACTGGAAATATGCACATCTGATTGGCGAGAAGTTTAGGTCTCTCCAAGATTTATATCTAGAAGCTGGTTTCGATAAAACTTTTAGTCGAATTCCCAAATATTGAAATATTTTAAGTATCAAAATGGATTTAAAATTTAAGTCCTAGAAATTAAGAGAGAAGACAGACTCAAAAACCTCAGTATACAGGCGCGGATCCAGGATTTTCCAATAGGGGGGGGGGGGGGGGGGGGGCCGGAAATTTGAAAATTGCGCAGACCGTTTTTCAACTCAACATACCAAAACTGACAATGTCATATTAGAAGCACCATATGTAATTTTTTTGACATTTTCATCGGGGGGGGGGGGGGCTGAAGCCTCTCGCCCGAAAAGTAATTTTCTAGTTTCACAATTTGGCTAGTGAGCGAAGCGAGCGAGCAAAAATTTGAGGATAATATGTATTTTTGTGAAAGTGTTATTTATTAGCAAAATATACGAGAAAAGATATAACAAATTCATATTCGGGCAGCTCGCTGTTCCCCTCCCCCTCCCCCCCCCCCATTACGCGCGAAGCGCGGAAGTTTTGACCTTTCATTAATTGATATAAATTATTAGAGAAAGAAGACGATTTGTTGTACCATTCTCGACTCCTATTCCTTTTGTCTGAATTCAGTTTTCCCCCTCCCGCGCGAAGCATTGACCTTTCATAGTTGAATGAAATTATTAGAGAAAGAAGATAATTCGTTGTTCCATTCTCGACCCTCAATCTTTCTCTGAATTCAGATTCCCCCCTCCAGCGCAAAGCGCAGAAGCTTAACGTTTCATTAAATTATTAGAGAAAGAAGACGGATTCGTTGTACCGTTCTCGATTCTTAATCATTGTCTGAATTCAGTTTCCATACCCCCCCCCCCCCCCCCGCGCGAAGCGCGGAAGCTTTGACGTTTCATTAAATCATTAGAGAAAGAGTACCGTTCTCGACTCTTAATCCTTGTCTGAATTGAGTTTCCCCCCCCCCCCCCTCCAGCGCGAAGCGCGGAAGCTTTGACGTTTCATTAAATTATTAGAGAAAGAAGACGATTCGTTGTACCGTTCTCGATTCTTAATCATTGTCTGAATTCGGTTTCCATACCCCCTCCCGCGCGAAGCGCGGAAGCTTTAACGTTTCATTAAATCATTAGAGAAAGAGTACCGTTCTCGACTCTTAATCCTTGTCTGAATTGAGCTCCCCCCCCCCCCCTCTCCCGCGCGAAGCGCGGAAGCTTTTACATTTAATTAAATTATTAGAGAAAGAAGACGATTCGTTGTACCGTTCTCGGTTGTTAATCATTGTCTGAATTCAGTTTCCCCCCTTCCGCGCTTCGAAGCTTTGACGTTTCATTGAATTATTAGCAGCGCTCAAAATGCACGGGGGCGATGGGCGATTCGCCCCCGTGAGCTCCATAATCGCCCCCGTCAGGTTGCCCACGGGGGCGATTGCAAAATAAAAAATCGCCCCCGTGGAATTATAAAAAAAAAGATTATCTTTTATTATATAACTTTAACACAATATTGAGTATCAATTTTCAAACCTTAAACCAATGAAATGGAACTTAGATGGCGCTTTCTCTCCCATCTCTATGAGTATTACCGATACAAACAACGGAAGCTCGCAGTGCACAGCTAATGCGGCCGTCATACTGCGCCAGTAGTACGTACCGGTGTGCACGCTGACGCCCAATATCTGCTGGAGCTGGAGACGATCGCGCAAGGACTGAAACATGGAGAAGTTTTTCGTCGTGAAAAGTGTGAATCCTCTGAAATCTGGTTGTTCTAAAAGACCAGCAAATAATGTAACTCGACCAATAAATCAATATTGAGAAGAAGATCAGCAAAGATGTTGCAGGGGTGGATCAATGCGGTTTAGGGGGTTTAATCCCCCGATCCCCCTTGGGCTGCCAAGTGAAAATGTGATGTGCATAGAAAAATGCTCTCATGTGTCCACACCTACACAGTAGTAGTAGATTTCAGTAGATGCCAGGAAAACATCACTAACGGGGGTTCAAAATAGCACCAAAAAATCGCCTCGCCGCTTCGCGGCTCGTGGACGATGCTCCACATCGTATTTGGTTTACCCCCCCCCCCACCCTTAGCAAAAAGCTAGATCCGCCCCTGTGTTTTGGAAGGATATGGTAAAGACTAAAAGTAAAGAAAGAATGCAAATACGGTTGCTCCGAATAATGAAGAGGACATTATGTGCAAAACGGGAAGAAATGGAGAGAATGTCATCACGGGCAGGCGCGGATCCAGGATTTCTTAGGGGGGGGGGAGCAAATTTGAAATTATGTGAGCCAAATATTGGTACGTAATGGTGACCGGCATTGACGTAATGGGGGGGGGGGTGCAGGGAGGGGCGATTTTCCCACTCCCTCCTCCGCAAAGCGCCGAAGCTTTGACGTTTCATTAAATCATTAGTGAAAGAAGGCGATTCGTTGCCCGTTCTCGAAAATAATCCTCGTCTGAATTGAGTTTACCCCCCCCCCTCTTGCACGAAGCGCGGAAGCTTTGACGTTTCATTACAGTATTAGATAAAGAAGACGATTCGTTGTACCGTTCTCGAAAATAATCCTCGTCTGAATTCAGTTTACCCCCTGCCGCGCGAAGCGCGGAAGTTTTTACGTTTCATTAAATCATTAGAGAAAGAAGGCGATTCGTTGCCCATTCTCGACTCATAAACTTCGTCTGAATTCAGTTTCCCCCTCGAGGGCGATATGCGGAAGCTTTGACGTTCCATTGAATTATTAGAGAAATAAGACGTTTCGTTGTACCGTTCTCGAAAATAAAACTCGTCTGAATTCATTTTACCCCCCCCCCCCCCCGTCCGCGCAAAGCGCGGAAGCTTTGACATTTCATTAAATCATTAGAGAAAGAAGACGATTCGTTGTACCGTTCTCGACTCTTAATCCTTGTCTGAAGCCAGCCCCACCCCCCTCCTCTTGCACGAAGCGCGGAAGCTTTGACGTTACATTAAAGTATTAGAGAAAGAAGACGATTCGTTGTACCATTCTCGATTCTTAATTCTTGTCTGAATTCGGTTCCACCCCCCCCCCCCCCCCCCTCCCGCTCGAAGCGAAAGCTTTGACGTTTCATTAAAATTATTAAAGAAAGAAGACGATTCGCTGTACCGTTCTCGACTCGGCTCAAGGGTTTTAGGCACTAAATTACGGACAGCTGGGTATCAAGAGGCCCGACTTAGGGCCCTCGGTTGGGTCCAGGGCCAGAGCCCCGGAAGCTCAGGGATTTTAGGCGTTTAGTTACGGTTAATACCTTATTTTGTTGTGACACTGGCAGTTAACTATTTTTTCTTACTTGCTCTCTTTCTT